GAAACTGCATGTTAATCTAGATTTCATGGCCTTACTATAAAGGAAGTTATTAACACTGTTTTAGAGAGGAAAACTGCCGCCATATATTTTAAAGAATCTGGTTGGTTCTGTAAAGTATAGGTCTGTTCCGAATAATAGGGTTGCGATCCTAAAGCTAATGTTGATTACTATCGAGTGTCACTTTCTTACTTGCTGTGGTTTGTTGGTGTGTATTGACAAAAAGTCATGATATCTAATGGAAAACACCTTAGGTCACTAGCAGTATTCATTCACTTATTTCAAGAACAATTTTGTTTCAAAGCTTCATATAATATTCTTGATTTAACAGCTCTGCCCTATGCTTTTTCCAGAACACACTATTAACAGTAAATTTGTACTATTGTCATGGTAAACTGAAAACACTGTTAGAATGTGTGTTTATTAAATCTTCGCAGTGATAATTAAAAGATAAATTGTATAATGAAAAATAAAACTTCTAATTGTTATCGGTAATAATAACAAATTGATCTCGTTAACACCACAGGTGTAATCCGTTAAAGCTATGTACAATTTCTAATTGTTATGAGTAATAATAATAAATTGATCTCGTTAACACCACAGGTGTAATCCGTTAAAGCTTTGTACAATTTCTAATTGTTATCAGTAATAACAACAAATTGATCTCGTTAACACCACAGGTGTAATCCGTTAAAGCTTTGTACAATTTCTAATTGTTATCAGTAATAATAACAAATTGATCTCGTTAACACCATAGGTGTAATCCGTTAAAGCTTTGTACAATTTCTACATGTTTTTGGCGACACCAGGTGGATCAAAATACTCTTTTTTTGGAGTATCATAAAAGCATTGATTATCCTTGATTAAGAAATCTTATATTACAATCGGTAATATATATATATACACTTATAACTTACTTTTGATAAAAGAATGTTCTTCAGAGTCAGGCACATATCCAGTGTTAATAATCCCTGACGTTTTGTGAGTACGGATTTTCTTTAGCTTTTCTGGTAGAGGGCTCTGTATTTCTATAGCATGAATAGATGTGGTGTCAGGAACGTTAGGTAAAGTGACGTAATTAATTCTTGAAGAGGCAACATCCGGGCTCACTTTTTGGTGATGAGAACAGACCTTTTCTTTCATGGCCATTCGATTGTCGAGTTCCTCTTCGCCGTAACCTAGACGATAAACATTATAAACTGTGTATCAACAGATGTGTGTGACTGTTACAGAGAAACTACCATAACGAATACAAACTGGTTAGGGCGCCCGATTCTGAATCTGCAGTTTGCAGGATGAATTCTCCGTCACATCGAACACTAATAATACTCTCGTTAACACTAGGGGTGTATTCCGTTCCAGTTATGTACAATTTCTAACTGTATTCATCGGTAACGACAAATTCCTCTCATGGGAGCGTTATAATGTGAGTGTCAATCCCACTAATCTTTAGTAAAAAGAGTAGCCCAAGAGTTCTAGTCGCCCCCCCCCCCCCCAGTGGCACAGCGGTATGTCTGCGGACTTACAACACTAGAATCCGAGTTTCGATACCCGTGGTGGGCAGAGCACAGATAGCCCATTGCGCAGCTTTGTGCTTAATTACAAACAAAAATCATTCTAGTCTATCACTGCTAAATTAGGGACGGCTTGCGCAGATAACCCTCGTGTAGCTTTGCGCGAAATTCAAACCAAAAATACATATTAACGTTTATCCAACAAAAATCGCGATGATACACACACACACACAACACTGGTAGATTATAATATATAAACTTAGTATTATGTTGACAACAATGGTTAACGTTTATCCAACAGAATGCATAATTATACTAATAAAGATGAGAAATTGGCATATACATACCCGTATAAAGGAGGGTAAATCGTATAAACCATGATGCTGTAGCTCCATATCATAAGAAGAACGAGAACCAAGAACGTGTATTCTAAAAGTTTGACACTTATTTTCATGTAAAACTGACAATATTTTAAAGTAAAACTGACAATATTTTCATGTAAAACTGACAATATTTTAAGTAAAACTGACAATATTTTCATGTAAAACTGACAATATTTTCAAGTAAAACTGACAATATTTTTCATGTAAAACTGACAATATTTTCATGTAAAACTGACAATATTTTCAAGTAAAACTGACAATATTTTTCATGTAAAACTGACAATATTTTCATGTAAAAACTGACAATATTTTCAAGTAAAACTGACAATATTTTCATGCAAGACTGACAATATTTTCAAGTAAGGGAAGAAGACTTCACTTTGTTAATAATTTCCTACTTGTTAAAAACTTTAGTTCCTAAATATTCAAATTGTTATGGTTTCGGTAATATATTTCCGTCGGATTACCAATTACGTTTCGATGATGTGGTGCTCGGCATACTGCCGTAACACATGAGTAACATGTCTAAATAAGACCACAGAAAAAAAAGGACTGTTACCTGTAAACTGTATTTAACAAACAAATTACCTGGAAAGTTCGAAACTTGAGTATACAGTCTGTTACCTGTAGGCTGTATGTAACAAACAAATTACCTGGAAAGTTTGAAGCTTGAGTCTACAGTCTGTTACTTGTAGGCTGTGTTTAACAAACAAATTGCCTCGAAAGTTCGAAGCTTGAGTCTACAGTCTGTTACCTGTAGGCTGTATTTAACAAACAAATTACCTGGAAAGTTCGAAGCTTGAGTATACAGTCTGTTACCTGTAGGCTGTACTTAACAAACAAATTGCCTGAAAAGTTTGAAGCTGGAGTCTACAGTATATTACCTGAAGGCTGTGTTTAACAAACAAATTACCTGGAAAGTTTGAAGCTTGAGTCTATAGCCTGTTACCTGTTGGTTGTATTTAACAAACAAATTGCCTGGAAAGTTTGAAGCTTGGGTCTACAGTCTGTTACCTGTAGGATGTACTTAAGAAACAAATTACCTGGAAAGTTTGAAGCTTGAGTCTACAGTCTGTTACCTGTAGGCTGTATTTAACAAACAAATGGCCTGGAAAGTTTGAAGCTTGAGTCTACAGTCTGTTACCTGTAGGCTGTGTTTAACAAACAAATTGCCTGGAAAGTTTGAAGCTTGAGTCTACAGTCTGTTACCTGTAGGCTGTGTTTAACAAACAAATTACCTGGAAAGTTTGAAGCTTGAGTCTACCAAGCTTCAAACTTTCCAGGTAATTTGTTTGTTAAACACAGCCTACAGGTAACAGACTAGTATACAGTCTGTTACCTGTAGTCTGTACTTAACAAACAAATTGCCTGGAAAGTTTGAAGCTTGAGTATACAGTCTGTTACCTGTAGGCTGTATTTAACAAACAAATTGCCTGGAAAGTTTGAAGATTGAGTCTACAAGGCTGTATTTAACAAACAAATTACCTGGAAAGTTTGAAGCTTGAGTCTACAGTCTGTTACTTGTAGGCTGTGTTTAACAAACAAATTGCCTGGAAAGTTCGAAGCTTGAGTCTACAGTCTGTTACCTGTAGGCTGTATTTAACAAACAAATTACCTGGAAAGTTTGAAGTTTGAGTATACAGTCTGTTACCTGTAGGCTGTACTTAACAAACAAATTGCCTGAAAAGTTTGAAGCTGGTGTCTGCAGTATATTGCCTGTAGGCTGTGTTTAACAAACAAATTACCTGGAAAGTTTGAAGCTTCAGTCTACAGTCTCTTACCTGTAGGCTGTATTTAACAAATAATTGCCTGGAAAGTTTGAAGATTGAGTCTACAGTCTGTTACTTGTAGGCTGTGTTTAACAAACAAATTACCTGGAAAGTTTGAAGCTTCAGTCTACAGTCTGTTACTTGTAGGCTGTGTTTAACAAACAAATTACCTGGAAAGTTTGAAGCTTCAGTCTACA